ATGACTATAAAACCACTTTCCCCAATTTTAGAAGGTCCAATGTGGCCTTTACTCTGCCCTTTTTAATTTAAAGCTTACAAATCAATCAAAAATAAGAAACACTTGATTTGCTTAACAAATACTGTAAGTGGCATACAACCAGGATAAATGATCTATTTATAATATTGATAGCAGATGCTCAAGTGTAACTTTAATTTCGAACATTCATAGATATCAACATCAAGAAGATAGCTACAGTTTAATATTCATCTGTGTGTGTGTGTGTGTGTGTGTGTGTATTCTCAGTGTTTAAACCATATATGCTCACAGACAACCCAATAATTCCAAATACACCCACAAAAACTTTACCTAGACAAAGTCTTTGAGATTTATATGCATGCATGCATAAAGATGTCTGGGTGCATCTGTGCATGTGCATGCACATGTGCAAGCACAAAGAGAGAGCAGGGGTGGTTTGATATATTTTGAGGCCTAAAACGATAAATTCAATTGAGACTTTTTTAAAATAAAATTTTAATAATAGTGTAAATTTTTTAATATTTAATTTTTTTTTTTGGATGCGTATTAATTGTTTAGTATTCGTATTGAAGTTTTTCTAACATATCTTTTTTATTAATAGTATAACTAATTGACTTAATTTTTAAATTAAATAAAAAATTCAAAAACTTTCAAATTCAAAGAGTATTTGACAGATTATGTTGTCTCGTCGTTGACACTCTTATAAAATTATTTTTCTATGAATTAGACATTACTCACGAAATATATGTTTGATTAAGTTTTTCAAGATTATGATAAAAAGGGCAATATTATATGGACCTTATTTGACGACCTTATCATTTTTTGTTATTAGATTGACAGTAGATCCTACTATTAGTTAAGACCTACTATCAATTCCACAGTAATGATCCATCACGTCACCAGATAAGATAACTAAATTAGGTACAAAATATATATATGTATGAATTGAATTTTTAGGCCCAAAATCAGTTTAGAGTTTTTTGTTAGTTAAGGCCTTCATACGGGCCTTTCTTATAAAGCTAATTTTAATGGGTTAATATTGACTTGGACTATATTTATAGACTTTTTAAATTTTGAGGCCCTCTTTATTGACGGGCCTAAAGCCACCGCTTATTTTCCTCCACTGTTGGGCCGGCCTTGAGAGAGAGAGAGAGAGATAGATCGGGGCAGAGCCACCTTGGGACTAGGGTGGGCACTTTTGCCCCCTCACTTTTGGATCACTTTTGATTAGGCCCCATAATGTTAGTCAAAGTACTACATTCCCCTTAAATTTTTGAAAATTTTTATTAAAGTATTAGTTTTTTTCCCCCTATAAATTAGTGGTCTATTACCCCCTAAAACAATTTTTTTTTTCTTTTGGAGTGTAAATTAAATGTAAATGTTGTGATCTGTTTATATATATTGAAAAAAAAAGACAATAATTCTCTTCTATTTAATACAATGCTACCTATGTTTTATTTTATTTTTTTGGTACAAGCTTCCTATGTTTTAGAAACAATTGTATATATGTTGTTTGCTATTCTTTGGTGGGTTTGTAATCTATAGTCAATACAACAAGATTGAATGAAAAAAGTTACATGTTATAACCAAAAAACATTTTATGCTATTTTAAATGTGAAATTTCTCAATAAACTTGAGAATAATCTCAATTATGTTTCACAATTATTAAAAAATAATTTTACTACGGGACTCTATGACTGTGCGCATCGATAGAAAATTAGTGAGAATTATAACACTTACAATTAACAAAATATAAAAAATATTAGGGATTTTATAGAACGTTGTATTTCACTGTAATATATAATTAAAATATACTAAAAAAAAATTATTTTGTGCTTTTTTGTTCAGACTTTGTTTAAGAAAAAAAATTAATTTTACTATTTTAGTAATTTTGTCTCAAACTTTAGTCTATTTTGTCATTTTTGTACTCAATTTTTTTCCAATATCAACTAGTGAATTATTTTCGCTATATAGCCCCCTTTTTTATTCAGATTCCTAGCTCCGCCCCAGGAGATAGAGAGAGTTACCCATCCTAGGCACTTTGAACTCATTGACAATTCTGATATCCTTATGTGTGTACCCAACAAAGTTAATATCCTTGGAACTTGTTAGAAAACATTTGCCGGATGTGGGAAAGAAATGAGAGACAATAAAAAAGGTATAAGAAAAGAGTAAGAAGAGAAAAAATAGAAGGCAAATACTTTAACTCATAGCATTCAAGACATTATAAGGCCATTGACCAGTACAAGGTAAAAATCAATAATATGAATAACACTCCATACATCAAGAATAGACATCAAAAGGGGGTACCATTCCAGAAAGCACTTGTCGAGTTGCTGAACATATTCTAGAAGCCAGACATTAAATAATTGGAATGTTCATCATCTCCAAGTCCAGTGGAAGACGACTCTAGACACTTAATTACCCTCAGAGAGAAATGCATCCTATGCCTCATGTCTAGTAAGCCTTGCACAGAGCATTACACTTCCAACTACTACTTGTAAAAGTATCTATCAATATAAAATGTGTCTTTGACCAATCAACTCAATGGATAATACAAGCTCATTGAAATTTTGTAAAAAATCCTTGTTTGAACCCCTATAAACTCCATCAAAAGATCCACTTTTTAAACACATAAAACTAAAGATTTGAATGATCCCATTTACTTCTGTTGGCTCCTATTCCCCAAATCTTATAAGAAAAAAATTGTAGGACGAAACAAATTTTCAAGTTTATTAACTTTCAACATCAATCATACTTGCAGCAGCCATTTTAATATTCAATCTATAGTATCGTCTCGTAATAGAAAAAAAGCTTCTTGTTAACTCTTTGGCAGAAGTAAGAAAGTCGATCCACTACAAATGCCTAACAGTTAGTATCCCGTACAATTGAAATACAACAGAAATACTAACACTCAAAACTACTGTTCATGAAATTTGAAGTAGCACCCAAGACTTGGAAAATTTCCTAGTGATAAGTCATGAAGTTGTGCAAGTGAGCTTACTCGACCAGCTCTTGATGAAGTGTCAGAATGATTTTCCGAATGTGGGACAGTAACAAGGGAAAGACATGAAAAGTTGGAAAAAAAACAAGAAACACAAATACCTCCTCAAACTTTTCAAAGTTTTGAGTCCAACTCATCATTAACCTCAGGAATGAATGCAGCTTCCATTTGATATGTTTTGTTGTGATCAATACATGGATAAGCCTGACACATAAAAGCAAGTAGGTAATTCACTTCATTTGCAACTCAAGGAGCAGATCCAAGAACATAGAATAGGACACACCATACAATGCCTTTATTTCATCTTCACCTTTTGAACTGAGCCTCTAATTGACCTTACAAAGCAGTTTTACTGACAAGATCTTGTGCTTATAAAGATAGCTTTGCTTCTCCAAGGAACTTTAAATATGTCCTCCAGTTTAGTATCTGCATTGTGCTAAGAAAGCTTAGGTTTTGGGATTTGAGGATCAAAGTATAGATTCACCAGCCTTTTTTGCAAAATTAAAAATTCAAATCATAAAAAAAGGATGGAAAATCAGATCAAGTGCAGAATGAGAAATACAGGGCAATTTGTAAAGCACCTTAACATCAGCACAGAATATTTTCATTAGTAACTCACTGGAAATATAGAAATTAGAAATTATAAAGATACAGAGAATAGAAAGATCTGACTAAGAGCTGCTTGTGGATTGAATCCCTCATGTTAAACTTATGGTGGGCTACATATTTCTTAATCACTGTGGATCCCGCTACTGCAGGTGCATGAAAGGTTAGATATATATAGACTTACCTAGCATGTGGAGAGGTTGTTTTCGTGTCTTAAGCCTATGATGCCTAGGTCACAATGGAGCATGTTTATCACTGTGACTGGGCTCATGCTCTGAAAAAGGAAAAATCCAAGTAAAAATTATCACCCAGGGTATTCAAAACGTGTACTCAGGTATCATTATAAAATACAGTTTTGTCACACTTGTTTCAGGTTCATTGGCATTGAACAAACAAGATTCACAATTCATAAATTACTTATGCAATTTTTTGCTTCGGGCGTACCAAAACCATTATGGTTTTGGTCCTGCCAATGCAAAGTACCTTAGGTGACGGCTGCCCTAAAACTCAAACACACATCTGAGCATCTTACCAGTGCACCACATGATGTCAAAGGTTTTATTATATATTAGAGATATTTTTAGGGAAAGGGAACCCACAATGACACTTTATTTAATGTGCTAAACAGTGAATATAAAAACGTAGCCACTCAAACATAGAAAATATAAAAATGAGAATACGACAGTCTATTCCTCCCCATTCCCCCCTCCTTGAATTAGCAAAAGAAAATAAGAAGATAAAGAAATACATGTTGACTGAGAGCATTCCGTATGTTTACCTTTCTACATGTGGACATAGGATCATCAGAATAGAAAGGTGTATACCCCACAAGCATACATGATAGCACGTGACCACCTGCAGAACAATACTTTTTGGAAATATATGAAAACTAGTCATCTCATATCAATGCCAATAACATCTCTCAAGCACAAAAAGTCATACCAAATAAATGGAGCAACCACAACCCTAAAAAATACTCTGTTGTTTGACAAAGCCTGAAAAGAAACCAGGTGGACACATGCAATTGAATAAGTTCCCTAAGATGTGAGCAAATAGCTGTGATAAACAGTCAGTTGCATCTATGTTCGTTAATTGGAATTAGTTAAATCATTGATAAACATTTTCACTATCAATTCTTAACTAGCTACCAAAACCAAGAAGAAATAGAAGAGAAAACAATAAATAAGACCAACACAAGGATTTACTAACTGTTGGACAGGTCAATGCAAAATTGTAAATTAATACATTAAAACAACTGAATACTAAAACACAAGAGCAAAACAAGCATCATCTAATACAGTGAAGATGAAGATGTTTACCTCGCCAAATGCACCTTTTCCTTCCATGGTCAGTAACTCAAATTAATCAACACCTATTTTGCGCCTTTGAAACGCACATGTTCATGTTGAGCTTCCTTCTTCACTAACAATTCTAACACGTTTTTTTGATCTTCCTCTGAAACATCAACATCAGCCAACTTCTTCTCCTTTAAATTTCGTCTATTTGAAAAAAAACAAAAGGCAAAATCACATATTTCTTCATTGTGAAAGAATTACAGTCCAACTCTACCATCCTACCAACAAAATTCTGCTAGATGATCCCATACACACATGGCATGCCGCTCTTTCCTCTCACGTAAGTTCTTCATTTGCTCTTTGTAATGGTTCTGCATATACTCTGCCACGGCCTTCTGCTTCGCAATTTTATAGGATTCTTCATCCGACAGTGGTTTTGGCTCTTCTCTTCGAGAAGCCAAGGGTTCCTGCTTATTAGTTGATGAACTCAAATGATCTCGTGGTTGAAGCCTTTGAAACCAACACCTTGTTGAATGCATTCCTTTCCCTTAAGATAAAGAGGCCATATATACAAACTCAACTAACAAGCATTTCATTCCAAAACTGATATTGTTCAGCCACAAAAACAAATAACGGACTAAATGCATGCATCCTGCATTGATAAGGTGAAACATCACAGAGAGCATTCAATATATCAAATGTACACATGTCTACATGTATGTTTATTGTGTACGTTTATATTGAGAGAGAACCACAGACAAACAAACGAACATTTATATAACTTAACACATTCCAAAAGCCAAATCCGTTATAAATTTCTTTATTTCCTAAACAATTAAAAGTCCTACCGTCTCAATATCAGGTTTTCCCATAAAGGCCAAAACAAAGATATCTACCTTTAAAAAGCATAGAATAAATAAGCAGAAACCGTGACGTAGAAGCCGGAACCCATAGAAGGGCCCACCAAAAGGCTACCTCTATAATCAAGATTTCAGAATGCATGATTCTAAAAGAAAAATAACCTAAAAATAAAAACCAAAAAAAAGGGAAGGAAAGAAAGATTGATATGTTATGTTAAAACAATAACACCTTGTGTTTTGATGCAGGTCAAGAAGCTTAAAGGGATCAAGATTCGCATTGTTCAAATCCATATGCAGCCCTTTAAGATTCAAATTATTTAAACCCATATGCAGCCCTTTAAGATTCGAATTATTTAAACCCATATGCATCTCATTCAAGAATATGCAAAGCCCAAGACTGAAAACCTTATCAGAAGATATCTGCTAAAAAAACAAATCAACAGGCACATGGATGGGATTGCGATTAACTCCAAATTGTTGCGTCCTTGCAAAGAAAATCAAACAAAAGGAAAGAAAGAAATATTGCTATGTGATGGCCAAGTGATAATCACCATACCTTGATAGAGATTTAAAAAACCTGAAGGGATCAAGATTTGTATTGTTCAAACCCATATGCATCTCATTTAAGAATATGCAAAGCCCAAAGGCTAAAAACCTTAGAATCATAAGATATCAGAAAAATACAAACCAACCTGCAGAAAGATTGGATTACTTCCAAATTGTTGGTTCCCCAAAAAGGAAAAAAATTACAAAAAAAAAACAAGGAAATATAGATTGCTATGTGATGGCCAAATGATAATCCCCATACCTTGATACAGATCAAAAAGCTTGAAGGGATCACTATCAGTTTGTATTGTTCAAACTCATAAGCATCTCATTCAACAATATGCAAAGCCATAGACTAAAAACCATAGAACCAAAGGATATCTTCAAAAACACAACCCAACATGCAGAGATATTGAATTACCGCCAAATTGTCGGTTCCCAAAAAAGATAATAAAAATCAAGAAAATAAAGATTGCTATGTGATTATCAAACGATAGTACCTCACACTTTGATAGAGATCAAAAAGCTCAAACGGTTCAATATCCGCATTAATCAAACCTACACGCATCATTCAAGAATGTGAAAAGCCCAAGCCTGAAAACCTCAGAATCAGAAGATGTCTGCCAAAAAAAAAAACAAATCATCAGGCAGCGAGATCGGATCGCTATGTGATGATCAAACGATAATACCTCATATTTTGATAGAGATCAAGATCTCCATATTGTTCAAACTCATACGCATCTCCTTTGAGAATATGCAAAACCCAAGACTGAAACCCTACAAAGATTGGTGTATGCATTAGTTGATCTGTAATCCATACAGAAATACTTTGCAATGCTACGTTACTTATATAATAGGGATGATCGAACAATTAGGGCGCCAATTTCGTTGATTGTCGATGCTTGGAAAAACCAATGTCCAACGGTAACTTTCTAGTACCCCTCAAGTTCTATATAAGTTCCCTTATGTTCGCCTTATTTGTATACTAACGGATCACAACTCAACTTGTAACATGGGAAAATTTCCATTTTGCCCTAAAAAATACAAAATTTTTTAATTTACTCACATTACCTTGTTAAAAAAATAAAAATATTATAATATAATTCACCGTCTTATTTTTGTTTGATCGTTCATCTGCTAATCACCCCTACTTCCCACCTCCCCATCACCAACACCCCAATTTCATCCTAAGCATCTCAAATCCTTACCTATCCTTTTTAAAATTTAAATTTAAATTTAAATAAAAAGTTTTAAAAAATCTTTTTCAATTTTATACTCAAACTCATATCAAATCAAGATAGACTCAATTTAGCTGATAAATTTCACCTCCGCTAAAGAATTAATGGTTAAATTTATCCTCTTTTAAATTTGAGTTTATCCTCATTCAAAGTTATGGTTATCTTTCTTTAAATTTTAGTTTCTCCACTTAAGAGGTCTATACTAAATAAAATTTTGTCAATTTTTAGATTCAAAAAAAAAAAAAAAAAGGCAAGACTAATACTATCTCCAATAGAACTCAAATTCTTACGCAAATTTAAGTAAAAAAAAAAACAAAAATTTTGATTTGGTACAGATCTTTCCAATTGATAAACTAAAATTTAAATAAAGACAATCCTAAATTTAAATAAGAACAAATTCAAATTTAAAAAAGATAAATTTGACTATTGAATTTTGAAAAGATGGTGAAATTTCACTATTAAATTTTTTTGTAGAGATTTGAGTAAAAAAAATGATTCCTTCATTTGATATGGGTGTAGGTCTAGCACTGGAGAAGATTTTTAGAAATTTTTTACCCAAATTTAAATTTAAAAATAGTGATGCTCTAATAATGTAAAAAAAATATATATATATATATATATTTATGACATGTTAAATTAATATTTTATAAAAATTAAAATGTACAGTAGTTAATAAAGATGATAAATGATTCAAATATTTACATAGATTACTTGTTACAATTCAACTGGAGGATACCATATGATTTGGGGTGAGAAAACTTTTCAACTGTTGTCTCCTAAATTGATTCTTTTAGTACCATAGTGTAGGTTAGTCATGGTAATTTGCTATCTCTCTCCACGATTACCTTATCCCTAACTCTTCATAAGTCTAATATTATTGGATAATTACTTATTAATGTGTTCAAAAATAGTAGTTTGTGAAATTTGGAATAATTAATAAAAATAATTAAAAATTTAAAATAAAAAAGTGATGAGAATAGTGACATAAAATACGTGGGATAATATAATTGGAAGAAATTAATTAAATATTTTAAAATTATAATAATTAAATATTTAAAAAAAGAAGTATACTTGATTGTTTCAAATATAGAATGATACCACAATTATGAGAAATTAAATACAAAATTATAAAGAATTAGAATGATAGAACAATTATGAGAAGTTTGGAAGATAGAACTACGGCTTTAAAAAATTTATTCTAGTGTCTGAATTTTCTATTATTCAATTGAAATAATAGAAAAATATAGAACAATTTGGGGAGAACATAAATTACACAGACACCCTTAATTTTCATTATTAATATAAAGTTTTGTAATTTTTTTACACAACATCATATATAATTTGTTGAGTACTCATCATAAGACCTCGACATCCAAATAATTTATGTGAATTTTTTTTGACACCAAATAGTTTATTGAGTTCATCATAAGACCCCTAACGTTTGTCCATCGTAGTACCAAAGACAAATAGATTTTGTCAAATTTATAATTAATGCAAAAATCATAGAAGTACCAAAATAACTAGGAGATTGATGCAATGAAGTGGGTAGAAATAAAAAGAGTATAATGAAAGAAAGGGGGATAAAAAGATCAAACCGTTAATTTGTGTATAAATACCAGTTTAAAATTTTATTTTAGACTTTTTAATTCACGAAAAATATCAACTCTAAAAATTTCAATAAATCTGTTGATTCTTACAAATCTATAATATAAAATAGGACGATTTCAACGTACAAATCCAACAACTTAAAATTCATTCATTTAACTGCCGTTACTGTTTCTTTTATTCTCCCCAAATTTATCTCTTTTCACTTATATTATTTTTCAAAACTCTACCCAGTCCCTTCACCTGTCAGAGAAACCATCTTTTGCCGGCTTCCTGCATTTTTTTTTTTTCTGACTTTTTTCAAAAATCTACCCACTTAGTCTCTTCACCTGTTGGACAAGCCATCTTCTGCCGCTTCCTGCATCTTTTTTTTTTATTATTTTTCCTGTCAGACAAGCCTTTTCCTGCATCTCTTTTCTTTCTTTTTTTTTTCCACCCTTTGTTACTCCTTACCCCTCTCTCTCTCTCTCTCTCTCTCTCTCTCTCACGCTCCAGCCACACCACCGCCACTTCGTCAGCAACACCACCGCCACTGCTAACCCCTCCCAAGTATGCATTGTCTCTCTCTCTTTCTCACACACACACACAAGCACACACTAACCCCCATCCTACCCCATATCTTCTCTGCCCTCTTCTACTCAACATCACCCAACACTTCTCTCGCTCACACACAATCACATTGCACACGCACACCCACAGCGCACAATACACACATACATACTCACCACCCACACACAAATCGCACACACACAAACAAACCCAGCACACACACCCAACACAGACCCAGTATACACGCACCCACATCACACACACTCACACTGCAGAAACAAACACCCACACCCACTCACCCACACACACATCACAAACAGACCCACCCACACCAAGTGTTTGTTGGAATGACCGAGAGAAATTTTGTGTACTCTGCCATTGTTTTTATTATTATTATTATTATTAATTTCCTGTGTACCTATTTTTTTTTGGGTATAATGTGTTGAATTTTAATTGATTAGTTCACTAAATTTTAATTGATTTACACTTTGTTTGATTTTTTCAATTTTATGTTGAATTAGCTTATATTCAATCTAATGTGTTGAATATTATAACTAAATGCATTTTTGTCTCTTTTTTTCCAACATCTATTTTTTCCTGAATCCAACAGCTATTAGGGTTTGTGTAAGAATTATCTATTGGGTTGTGGTCAATTTTCTGTTATAAAGTGATTTTTGAAGTTTAGAAATGATTGCCTTTGTGCATCCTTGATATTAGTTGGGACCCCTGAGTTTTGTTTCC